AGAGAGAAGGGAGTGTAGATTTAATATGGATGCATATTAAAAAGAAACAGTGAATGTTAAATAATAGCACATTTTCTGCCTTTTCTTTATAACCACCTTATCAAAAAGACTCTTCACCTGTCGGGGCCAGGGACGGTTCAGAGGGCTGGAGAGTTAGTCTGCATGCACAGGACCCCTGCTTTGATTCCTCTGCACTTCAAGGCTTCCGGAACACCTTTGGTATAGCCCTCAGACTGCTTGGGGATCCCCTCCTACACACACACACACAAACACACACACACACACAAATTTTTCACTGTCGCATTAAGATCAGATAGGTCCGGAGAGATAGTATAGGAGTAAGGTGCTTGCCTTGTATGCAGCCGAACCCAGTTCAGTTCCTGATATCACATGGGTCTCTGGCCACAGCCAGAGCAACTAAAGAGCACCACCAGGCCCAAAACCTTCTCCCTCTAAAAAGAATAAGATCATCAACTAGCTCGTCTTTGATTTCTTTCCCTTTTATTATCATTATTTTTTCAATTGCAATAACATTGATTTATAAGACTTATGTGCTTTAGGAGTATAAATTCACTACTCTTGGAGCCAGAGAGATAGTACAATGGGATAGTACAGTGCCTTGCATGCAGCTGACCCAGGTTTGATCACTGGTATCCTATACGGTACCCCAAGCCCACCAGAAGTGATTCCTGAGTGCAGAGCCAGGAGTAACCCCTGAGCACTGCCAGGTATGACTCAAAAAACAAAATACCACTACTAGTAAGTAATTTCACCACTCTTCTTGTGTCACCACACCACATCTACCCCCCAGAGCGCCAGTATCCCCCCACCCCTGTCACTGAGCCCCTCCCACCCACTCAGAGAATTTTTCAGGTAAGGAAATGTGATCTCCGTACTAACCAGCTGCCAAGCTAATCAGACATTTCTCATTTCTATTAAATATGAAGGGCTGGAGCGATAGCACAGCGGTAGGGCGTTTGCCTTGCACGCAGCCAACATGACTGACCCGAGTTCGATTCCTCTGCCCCTCTTGGAGAGCCCAGCAAGCTACCGAGAGTATCTCGCCCTCACGGCAGAGCCTGGCAAGCTCCCCGTGACGTATTCGATATGCCAAACACAGTAACAACAAAGTCTCCAATGGAGACATTACTGGGCCCGCTCGAGCAAATCGATGATCAACGGGAGGGCCTTTACCTTTACCTTACCTTATTAAATATGAATTTTTAATATGGATTATCTCAAGACAATATAAAAATACAATTATGAAGGTTTTTTTATTCATATTCGTCACTTTTCTCATTCACCCTGCCTTTCAGTTTGTTCTGTAAACAATTTTTTAAGATGATTTGGATGGGGGCCAGGCAGCCTGCAGCCCTGCCAGGGAGCAGGGGCACAGGGTCCTTCTACTCAGTGGTACAGATTGGGTGCAGGATTAGGGCCTCACTTGTGCTAGGCGTGTGCTCTGCCACTTCAGCTTCTCTCCAGCTCTTTAAAAGAAGAAGAAATTATTCTTTAAACAAGCTCTGTGATGAGATATAACAACTTTCACACTAAAAAACGTGATCTTGGGGACTGGAGTGATAGTACAGCAGGTAGGGTGTTTGCCTTGCACGTGGCCGACCCGGGTTCAATTCCCAGCATCCCATATGTTTCCCTGAGCACCACCAGGAGTAATTCCTAAGTGCAAAGCCAGGAGTAAGTCCTGTGCATTGCCGGGTGTGGCCCAAAAAGCCAAATAAATAAATAAATTGATCTTTATATTGATTTGAAAATTGGAGCTTTGTTATCCAATCAATTCCAACTCTGAATTATATCAACAACGATAGTTTTTGTCTACATAAAAATAAGTTTTAAAAAAATTCTTCTGTGATTTCTCTTTGTTTGTTGTTGTTGCTGTTCTTTTGGACAACACCCTTCTGGGTTCCTAGGCTACTCCTGGCTCAGGGTTCAGGGGACCATGCAGAGCTGGGGGTTGAACCCAGGGCTTCATACATACAAGGCAAGTCCTGTACCAACGGGTAACCTCCATGACCCCTTCTGTAAAATTCTTACTGATCTCTGCAGTGAGGCTCAACCAGATTCTTCAGTGCATAAATTATTTCGCACATTTTAAAATGGTATATACTAAGGGTAAAATTTCACAGGGACCATTCTTTCATATCCTGGATTATGACCTGGACACCAGTTTTTTTCTCTTAGGTGGCATAAAGCTCACTTTGGGACTGATTCTCTGCCGAGTAGCTTCATAAATTTAGGCTAGAATATTACTATTCTAGACTTTGTTTCTGGAAATGCAGTCTACCTGTTTACCTGTTGAAGTTCTTTTTTTTTTTCTGCTTTTTTGGTCACACACGGCAATGCACAGGGGTTACTCCTGGCTCTGCACTCAGGAATCACTCCTGGCAGTGCTCAGAGGACCATATGGGATGCTGGGAATTAAACCAGGGTCCGCCGTGTGCAAGGCAAATGCCCTACCCTCTGTGCTCTCACTCCAGACCCTCTGTTGAAGTTCTTTTGCTTTGTATTTTAATCTCACTTTACTCAAGACAGCAAACACTGCCACAAACTGCATGATTAGCTTAGCACAATTTTTTTTCTCTTATTGAATCACCATGAGATACAGTTACAAAAACTTTCATGTTTGAGTTTCACTCATACAGTGATCAAACACCCATCCCTCCACCAGTGCACATTCTCCACCACCAATGTCCCCCTATACACCCCCTTTTCCAACCCTCCCCCTGCCTCCATGGCAGACAATTTCCCACATACTCTCTCTCTACTTTTGGACATTATGGGCTGCAATACAGATACTGAGAGGTTATCACCTTTTGGTCCTTTATCTTTCAGTACACATCTCCCATCCCGAATGATTCCTCCAACCATCATTGACTTAGTGATCCCTTCTCTATCCCAGCTGCCTTCTCCTTCAGCTTAGCACTTTCTTTGCTTAAAAAACATAATAATCCCTTTCCAAACATGATCCTTTGTCAGATAATGTCCCTATATTTTCGGATATTGTCTTAAAAATAGCACATCTCTGTCTGCTTCCTTTCCCTTTGTTGTCGCAGGCTCAGACACACTTGGTTGTCATGCTTCCCACAAACGTCATTCAGGTGCACTGTACTGGCCCCCAGGAACCTCGAATGGTCGGGTCACCAGGATCAGAGTCTTGTAAGGAGGTGCTGAGATCGAATCCACAGCCGCGTGTCTCCTGGGCAGGTTCCAGGCCCCCAAGCCACACACCCAGCCCCCAGATGTAGCAGGTCTCAATGTCTGTTTTCCACAAGGAAAGGAAAAGCTGTTATTTGTTTTTCCATACATTGTTCATATTAACAGGAAGAGGCTAGTTTGATCGTAAGTGATAATGTGACTCTATGTAAAGAAAACTTAGGCTGTGCCTCAAGGTCGGTGAGGGGAAAGGGAAGGGGAATAGTTGGCTTCTGAAATGGCTTCCTGTTCACATCAGAGATGCTGGTTTCCCCCCCTTTTAAATAATCAACAAATGAAAACTGGCCTTGGAAATTCCCCCCTCCCATCTCTCTCTCTTGCTCTCGCTCTCTCTGTATTTCTGTCTCTGTCTCTGTCTCTCTCTTGCTCTCTCTCACTGCTTGCCATTTTCAGTTTAATGTCTGCTTCGCCACAGAGATTAGCACATTTTCCACTCGTGATTGATTTACTTATCAGGGACCTCAGGAGTTTTCTGAAACATGAGGTCTGCCTTTGGTGATGATGATTACTGGATTATTGCCTATTTTGGGGTGGGATTTTCCATTTTTAGATTACACCAGCCTCTCAAGCCTTTCTTTCTCTGGCAGAGGGATCTTTCCTCTCCCCCAGCCTCGCTTCAACAGTGACTCACTTGGGCCCTGGGGCTTTGCTTCACACTCTCATTCAGGGGCCACTTTCTACCCTTGCTCTTGTTATTTGCCTTGTGTGTTCTGCTTGGAAGCTTTTCTGTCCTTTGGCACATAGAGTTTGCCTCTGAGTTATTGTCAAGAGAGAGATATACAATACCACCCCCAGACTGGAACAATTGTGTTTATATCCCGATCAGCCGTTCCTATGACAGCAGTAGAGGTCAGGGAGAATACAGATGGAATATCTTTAAGGACTGGAGAGACACACCGGCTGCATGTGGCTGACACCTGTCCAATCCCCAAACCTCCTGGTCCTTCAGCACTGCTGGGTGCAGCCCAGGAAACCCCAGGATCTGTCTGGGTGGCCCGGATAATCCCCAGGGCACACCCCACAAATCAAAGCATTAAACCACTGGTTCAGTTGGCTGAGAATCACTGGGAAGGGCCCTAGGTCCCCTGAGGACCACTCCCTACACACACACACACACACACACACACACACACACACACACACACGCACATTCAGAATATTTTTAAGGAAACCTAACTCCAAATGGTGTTGAGGGGAAAGACTTCTCCCAGGAAATATGAGTGTCATTAGCACAGCGGGTAGAGCGTTCGCCTTACAAGCGGCCAACATGGCCGACCCGAGTTCGATTCCTCTGCCCCTCTCGGAGAGCCTGGCAAGCTACCGAGAGTATTCGATATGCCAGACACAGTAACAACAAAGTCTCCAATGGAGACGTTACTGGGCCCGCTCGAGCAAATCGACGATCAACGGGAGGGCCTTTACCTTTACCTTTATCATGCAGATACAGATGAAAGTTTTCTGAGGCAAACAGTTGTTAAAGAGACTCCTCGGAGGGGGATTTGGTCTCATTTGTAGCTCAGAGTCTTCTTCAGAGCTACTCAAGTCCTGAGGTGCCAGAATGGTCCCCCTGTGGCCATACTCTCGGGCCTCAGGGTTGTGCCCAGTGATGCCCAGGGGGTTTTGTGGTGCTGGGGAGTGAACTGGGGTCAGACGCAGACCAGGAAGGTGCCCTAACCCCAGGGCTTTCTTGGCAGCCCTGATCTTGACATTCTGATATCAGCCTTCCGGAGCAATCCATTAATGCTGACCTGTTTTTTTTTTCTCTGCAGTTTTAACAGTGTATGCCAAGGAACTCACATCCTCTTTAGAGAATTCAGCTTCGTCCAGGCCACCCCACACAACAGGGCTTCCTTCTTACGGGCCTTCTGGAGGTGCTTCCGAACAGTGGGCAAAAATGGTGGTAAGTCTCTCCAGAGTCTGTTCTTGCCTTCCTTTCTTCCTTCCAGACAGCCCTCTTTGTTGTTGTTGTTGTTCCTGCTTGAAAGAATGCTTTTAAATAGTCTAGGAACAACTTAACTTGGGGGACAGTAGCTTATCAGAGGAAGCAGAGAATCGTGATCATTTTGTGATGGAGTTTCTTTAATATCACATCCTCAGAGTTCATTCTGTTGTGACTGATAGAACATTCTTCCTTTTTAAGGATGAATGGTATTCCAGTGTACGTGTAGGCATTTTGCTTCTCTGTGCATCTACTTATGAACACTTGAGTTGCTTTTACTGCTTTGGCTAATGTGAATAACGCTACGTTAAGTTTTTTGAAAAGTAGGAATTTCCTCGGACACAGCTGAACAGTTTCACTAAGCAGCAGGAAATGCCGATCAAATTCTAGAAATACAGGTTTGGGGAAGTAGAATAAAATTTATTAATTAAGGACCAGAGTGATAGTACAGCAGGAATGTTACTTACCTTGCATGCAACTCACCCGGTTCAAACCCCAGCATCCACACAGTCCCCTGAGCTCACCAGGAGTAATCCCCGAATACAGAACTGAGAGTCATCCTTGAGAGTACCACTGGGTATGGCCAAAAACCAAAAAAATTAAATAAATAAAAACTTTAGTAATGGGGAACCAGGAATGCATCTCAGTGGTAGAGCACATGTTTCTCACATCTGAGGCCACAGCTGCACCCTCACCCTAACACACACACACACACACACACACACACACACACACACACACGTACATTATAATAATGAAAACACCTGCTAAAATCTTACTTTAGTGAGATTTTCATAACACCTTAAAATTCTTCATAGAAGGACCTGGCAAATGCAACTCTTTTTTGTATTTTTGTACTATTTCATATTTTCTAAGAAATGTCTTTCTTGAGACTTAATCTTGGTAAGGTGGAGGATAACATTGGTTTGTCCTTTCTCCCTGCCTGCAGGGGGCTTAGGTTTATGGGGTTATACTCTAACACCAGTTACAGTGCTCATGAGACACTCCCATTCCTTTGTTTATTAGAATATAGCTCTAAACAGTTTTAGGCTTAACATTGGTTTGTCCTTCCTCCCTGGCTGCAGGGAGTTTAGGTTTACTGAATAATACTCTCACAATGCTCTCAGGCACTCCCACTCCTCTGTGTTTTTCTGTAACCTCTTTATTTGTGTTCTGCTTCCCCAAATAATCAATCACCTATATCCTCTAATAAGACTCTGTTAACTTGTAAGGTCAGATCCTTGTAAGCACACTGGACTTGTATTTGTAAGTGAAATTTTGCCTTTCTCTTCTCCTTATGTCCTTTGTGTAGTTACTTCAGAGCTAGGTCCTTTTTGTATAGACACAGGAAGACAGTTAATATATAGACACAGGAAGACAGTTAATGCTATGCTTTTGTAACTTGGGAGTGAATTGACTCTGAATAATATTCACTCCTGGGCATCTTCTTTCTCAAATTAAGCCTCAGTTGTCCTTAGTTCCTAGCACCCCAAAAGCAGAGTTCAGACAAGGGACTGGATGGACCCAGGGCAAGCTGTGACCTACCCTGGCATCTAAATGGGTCAGGCCAAAGTGCCATAATACTTAACTATAAGTTAAGAGCATGATTATGGACAAATTCTGTCATTATCCAAAGAGTAACAACTAGATTAGGACCCTGCTAGTGGTAGGAAAGACTAATCTGGCCTGAGCATTGTAGTCTGAGATCTATAGCGAGATGTCCCCAGGAGAACAATCCTATAAGCTTAATGTATCTCCTACTGTGTCCATGCAAAATGACTAATATTGTTAAGGAGTAGAATTAAGATGAATGTTTATGTGGTTGCTAGACTAAGGGAAGGAGAAACGCACCCATAGATGGCATTTCGCCCTGAGGCAGGTGTTCCTGATGAATAAAAATCTGTCCTAGAAGAAGCTTCCCCTGAGGGAAGGACTCTACATCTGTTGATTGTATGACCACACCTATGTGTAATTGTTACCCCAACCCCCTCATGATTTGGGATATAACTAAGGCTGTAAGGGTGGCAGAGGAGTAGGAGGCAAGAGAGAGCAGGCAAGGGGACTAAAGTAGAATGTAGGAGCAGGATCCGGAGAGGAGGGATGAAGAAGAATTGGGGGAAGGAGGAAGAGGAATGGAGACGATATTGGAACAAACTGCAATTGATACCAACCAACCTGGCCCTTGTTCCCTCCATCATCTGCCCATTACTATCGGCCATCCTGGGTTTCGGCACCTGAAGCCTCTTGAGACCACGGAACACAGTTGGCGAGAGAGCGAGCCACGGGTCATCGTGATTATTTTTTTGAATACACAGTAAGGTGGAGCTAGGGAAAGATAAAACATTGGGAACATCCTTTTCTTTGGGGGGGAGGGGTCACACCTGGCAGTGCTCAGGGGTTACCCCTGGCTCTGCATGCAGGAATTACTCATGGTGGTGCTCAAGGGACTATATAGGATGCTAGATCGGCCACATGCAAGGCAAATACCCTACCTGCTATACTATTGCTCTGGCCCCGCATCTTTTTTTTTTTTAATGGCATTACATTCTTACATTCATAATATTAAAATAAGTTAAATTGCTCCCAAATTTTCAGATTTAAAATCTCTATGTAACACTGGTGAAGGGATGGGTGATGAAATACTGTATGACTAAAATTCAATCATGAACAGCTTTGTTAAGGGTCTATCTTACAGTGATTCAATAAAAATAAAAGTTAAAAAAGTAAAATAAAAATAAAATAAAATATCTACATAAAACTCTGTGTCCAGAGGCCAGAGAGATTCTTCCATGGGCTGGATTATCTACTTAGCATGCAGAAGGCCTTCATAGATACCTGAATTTACTCTCCACACCTTAATACAGATCTGAGCACCCCTGAGTAAGGCCCCCAAACCTAACCCAAAACAAAACCCTTTTTCAACATGTTTTCAAGAGTCTATTCTACCTGCCGTCATATTACAGATTTTCCAAAGAAGTATCAAATACCGTTATTTTTTATTTTTATTGAATCACTGTGAGATATAGTTAACAAAACTTTCATGTTTGAGTTTCAGTCATACAATGATTGAACATCCGTCCCTCCACAAGTGCACATTCTCCACCACCAATGTCCTCAGTATTACCTTTCCAACCTTCCCCCTGTCTATGACAGACAATTTCCCCCATACTCTCTCTCTACTTTTGGGCATTATGATTTGCAATGCAGATACTGAGAGGTTATCATGTTTGGTCCATTATCTACTTTCAGCACACATCTCCCATCCTGACTGGTTCCTCAACCCATCATTTTCTTAGTGATCCCCTCTCTATTCCAGCTGCCTTCTCCCCGAGATAGGCTTCCAACTATGGAGCAGTATTCCTAGCTCTTGTGTCTACTGTTCTTGGGTGTCAGTCTCATATTATGTTAGTATCAAATACCTTAAAAGACAGCTTATATACCTAAACTGTATCCTGATTCATTTGCCAAATATCTCTGGTGGAGTTAGCATGTATCTGGTGCTGACCTGTAGAAAGTGAACCAGTATACTCCCATCTTTCTTGGAATTTGCAAGATCCCCAACCCTGCTGTAGTTCTCCCACTGCTACTTTATATTTAGCAATGGAACCCTTTTCGAAATCCGAGGAACCATTCAGGTCGATATTATTATTAATAATGAAGTTCTGTGGCTTGCGCAAGGATTGCACCACGACACAGTCAGAAACAGAATCCAGACAAATCTACCTGCCAACATGGGCTATTTCCGGGGGCCTCCTCCTCCAGGCCTTTCTGTGGCATGCCACCACAGAGACCCCTCGGTCATGCTCGGTCAAGGCAGGTCTCATGTACACTAATCCAGTGATATCAGCCCCTCCATGGTATTTCTGCCCCTCCACAGAGGGCAGAAATTAATATGGACTCCATTCTAAATGAGCTCGCTTTAAAAAAAAAAAAAACGCTTACGTTGATCTTTATTATTATTAACCCAGGAGCTATTAATATAGAGGACAAATATGCACAGTCTCCTCAGAAGCTGCCTTTCCCAATGCCCTAATCTGTCAACAAATACTTATTGGCGCAATAGATAGGGCGCTTGCCTTGCACGCAATCCCCAACATCCTTTATGGTCCACTGAGCTCTGCCAGGAGTGATCCTTGAGCACAGAGCCAAAAACCAAAGTGCACTGAGCGCTCACTCTATGGAAGAATGATGCCTAGGGCTGGACTCGGTTTCTGGAAATCAGCACACGGCGACGCCTGTGGAAATGTCTTCAGGCCACCTTCGTTCTTTTCCCTGATTCAGAAGTGGGGCCTCTTCAAGAATTGATTTACTATCACCAGGGATTCAGAGCGCATTTGGTCTCTAAGCAGAGGTGGGTTGCTTTATCTCTTTTATAGCAGCTGCCAGTAATTCATCCAGCTGCTGAGAGAAAGCAGCTCCAAATTCTCCCTCTTTCTCCGCTGCCATAAACAAGGCCTAGTTTTTATGCTGGCGACTTATTGCCGTGCATCTTAATAAGACAGCCTCTGACTGCCGAAAGCCCAGACTCAACATTTTTTGTCTAGGTAATCCCTGACTTTCTGGTTCAACCGTTTTGATATCATCTCCTTTTCTCCCAGGAAACTGGAGCACGTCTTTCAGTCCCAGAATGTGTTAATCCCCAATTTTATTCCAGGATGAGCAAAACCACGAAGAGGAAAGTTCCGAAGGGAAGTATTTCGTAGGCCCTCCCCCTTTTGTTTTTCACTGAGAATGCCAAGTACCCGATTCCCCTCGGTGGAGCTACTGCTATATTGGCCTGCTGTCACCCTCATGAGAACATCATGTACATTTTTTGACATTGCCAAGAGGAAATTCTTCTGAAAGGCAGTCAAAGGAGAGCAGAGTTCCAGAATAACATCTCAAAATGAAACCGTGTATGGAAAACTAAAGACCTGATCCCTTCTATCGACAAGCACTTTATCACAGTTTTGAGAAAGGGA